ACATTAACTCTCTTACAGTCTTTTATTAGTAAGTATTTTACAGTGACCCATATTTTTGTTGCCTAAATTTTCTTGAACTAAGTTTAGGAATTGAGTATAGCGTATTGTCCACCATACTGTATTTACAATGTTGACTTTATGTATATAGTATTCATGTTTTGTTAAGAATTATTTGGCAGCTTTACGTCAACTTATGTTCTCTTGAAGACTTAAAGAAAGTCAGATTCATACCGTTTAATGAAACCTTGGAGATGCAACTGAAAGAGCCAGAAAAATGTCCAATAACTGGACGTCGCTATCTTTTACCGTCAGTATTTAGGAATGTGTACTGAACCCCTAACTGGGCATCGAGTGATTTTTTTTTTCCTTCTTTGTGCACATTTGAAGTCTGTCTGTTCTGAAACAGATGTACTTTGGAACTCCTCACCTGGTGGAGCAGGGGAGGGACACGGCGAGGCAGTGTTGGGGGCTACTTTGTGCGGGGTGGACTGGGCGGATGAGGGTCCGCTGGTTGGCTGAGGCGGGGCCCCGAACAAGTCCCCGAGGAGGTCGGTGGTTCCAGCTGCTGTGGGCGGAGGCTGAGATGAGGAGCACGGACGCTTGATCTCCTCCCTATCCAGGCCGAGAAGATCCACCTCTTCGGCGGGGGCGGCCGGCGTTGGGGCCGGGGGGTCGGGCTTCTGGGGGGCGGCGCTGGCGTTGCTTCGCTGGCTGGACAGAGAGAGCATCTCATCGTCCGAGGGCTCGCTCTCCTCACCGTGGCCCCGGCCGTCTGGACCTCCGTGGGGCCGGCTTGGCTCTGCAAAAGAAAGGACGAGGCAGTTAGGAGACAGAAGCATCCAAAGCGATCGAAGCAGCAAATAGAGGCGATACCAAAGCAGACACTGGGAATTAATGGGGTAGAAGGCTGACAGAAACACAGAGGAGGTTACAAGAAAAAGGGACAAGAGCAAAGTAGAGAAACTACGCAGGTTATCGCTGCTACAAGCTCCAACTATTCTCCTGGTACTTGGTGCTATGAGGCTGCACACTTAGACGCAGTCTGCTAATAAATTCCGCTGGTAGCTGCTCTTAGCTAATTGGAGACGTCTAAAAAGTGATACATTTCTATTTACAAGAATGCAATCAATAAAATATATCTTATCTGCATTTAGAGAAAGGACGGGATGTACAAAAGGGCAATAAAGTTCAGCCTGTATGACTCTGGAGCAATATTTCACTTTGGTAGAATCTGGATTTGTTTACAGCTGCACAGTTTTTGCTTTCTTCAGCTATTTTTACAAGGACTGTTTTTTCACTTCTCTATTTTCACACAAAAAGCTTAAAAGCATGTGTCTGGATACAGGGAAACACGCATGTTTGTGGTTGCACATTAGGGTATGTGTGTTGTAATCTACTCAGATCTTCAGAGGTTGGGCATCTACGCCAGGGGCAGAGGGAGAATTTCTACCAAAATGATTTATCACCGCACAACAATAACGGGTTTCATTTCAATTCAATCAATTCGGATCACACGTGGAAACAGCCAAATGGGTTTTTCCAATAACAGAGAATGTATTTGTCAATATTTTCATTAAATTTGCTGCTTTTTGTTTTTCTTCTAGCTACAGTATGATTGAATTGAAGCAAGCCCTGGTTACTAAAGTCACTGGATGCTTCCTCTAAACAGGTCTGTGGTCTCCTCTACAGTCTTACCCTCCAGGTCCAAGCCCTCCATCTCATCTTGCAGGGACAAAAATGAGTCAACATTAGTTTGTTTTTGTGTCTCCAAGTCTGTGACATATAATCTCACTGTAACTGTGATCTTTCTCAGCTGTGTGTATGCATTTGTGTATGTACACGTGGATGAGAGTGTACATGGATAGTTGCATGAGTGTGTGTTTGCACATGTGTATCTGGATGAAAGTGTGAACTTGTTTTGTGATTTTTCGAAGAACCAGTCCGATTTTAACGTTGTTGAGTCATTTTTTTTTGCCCACATTTTGGCACAGGGACAAACTTGTGTGGGGTTAGTTCAGGGATAGAAGTTAAATGAAGGGTTAACTAATCCTTGTGATTAGTTGCAAAACATAGAAAATAATAACAAAGAAGAAATACAGCTCATTCCCAAATCACACATTATCTTAAACACAGGTTCCATGCTGCTAAATCAAGCCTTTGTTCTTCTAGCAGCTAGCTGGTGTCCGGCTAGCTTTTCTCCTTTTAATGAATTTGATCATTGAGGTTGAAAGCTGAAACGTGGCACTGGACTTTTCTGTCCACATCTTTAGTGAGATGTGACAATTTAATAAAGAAGTGCTGAAGTTAGCTTCTGATTTATCAGTTAAGGGGAAAGTTGAAGGACATTTACTTCAAATACTGATAGTTTTTATCTTACTGTCAGTGGGAATTACATATGTTATTTAATGCCTAACATGAATGAAAACATCAGATCCAGATTCAAAACCGCGACACCAAATGTGACTTAGCTCACCTGAGACGAGCCCGTTGAAATACAGTTTCAGATTTGTACTTCATTGTACTTCTGAGAAAGAAATGTAGAGTTTCTTGGTGTCTTTGGCTTGTCTGGGCGAACTTTCCAAATTTGAGGAGTCTAAAAATAGTGGTTTTACATCTGGACATGTTCCAATCTGGTCTATATGTGGAGAAAAGTCTGGTATTATTGCCATTTCTTGTTTTGAAAAATCAAAGTTTTCACAAATTTGAAAGTTGGTTTACAACTTTAACTACAAGTATTGCAATTTTATTATTACCTACAATGTCTAACCACAGTCGGAAATTTAAAAAAAAACAAAAAAAAACAAAAAAACAGACAATTGGTCACTAGTAAGCTTCCCTTAACTTTACCCTTAGCTTTCCAAACTGAAAGCTCACTACAGAGTTCTAATGATCAGTGCTTCTGTGTTATTTTGGTTAATTTTCATTTAAAATGCAAGAGTTAAAGTTTATGTACCTATTGAGCTATATATGGACAGAAAATCCAGATAAGGTGAGGGAGATATTCAGAAAAACTGATGAAAGAAACCCAGTTTGACAAAAATACGCAAAAGCAAATAGATCACAAGCTCCTCTTTGTCATTCACATGTCTTCAATGTGTTCCACACAGAGTGTGATCTACGGTATGTCAGCGTTGGCCCCAGTGTCCCCGTAGTACCAGCAATAGCCAGGGCGTCCTGATGTTCCTGGTGGCAGGAGAAGAGCACGTTGGGACTCAGGTCTTTACAGGGGAACTGCTCCCATGGCGGCGTCAGGTCCTTCTGCTTGTCCACTCCTTCTACTTCCACGTCCAGGATGACATGGAACAGCTGGGGATACTTCTCAGGAGAGTCGCAGGCGTCGAGCTCTGGTCTGGGAGGTAGAAGAAAATGTGCGTTTGTAAAAGGTAACAGGTGTTTTTTTTTAATATCCAAATGATTTTTGTCCTCTTGAAAGTATTGAAAGCGATGAAATGTGCTTACTTGTTAAACTTTAACATGGTGGTTCCAGGAGCGATGAAGCCAGTGTGGAACTGGATTTGGAAGATTTGAGTGTTGGACACCTAACAGCAGGACAAAGGTAGGATTGACCATATCGTGTTGTACTAATTTCATGTCGTAGTCACTGTATTGAGTAAAAGGTACAGTTCTGGGATCTGGTTCAGCTATCATCATGAGTTTGTTTGTGTAGCACAGATGAAAGTCTTTTAACACTAAGGTACCTCTGAACACTACAAGTAATAAAATAAAATAATATCAGGTAAGATAAGACAATCAGGTAGAAATAAGTATATGCAGACAAAGCAGAAAATGCACCAGGGAGAAATAGATGCAATAAGACCGTGCTAGAAAACGACATATTACTCTAAGCCATTCATTTCAAGTAGACAACAGTCAGTTAGATTTCAGATTCAACATCCGTGGTTTCAGGATAATAAAATTATATAGTGATATACACATGCATTCCTATTACACCTGCCGTTTTAAACCAATGTTTCCACAGTTTTGCTGTAAGCAGAATGCAGGACAATAATGATAACCAAAAGAAAGGTTGCCCAAAACTTAAAAAAAATACAAATAAAATAAAAAAGTCTGGAGGAAAACTGCATATTTCCATGAACAGTCCGGAAATTAAAAACCATCGATCTCCAACTTCATGTTACTTGTTGCCTCCTGACGCAAGTTGTACAAATGAGTTAAGGTGCAGCTCCATCCTGAAACAGTTCAGCTGCTGACAGCTCCAACACCATCTTGTTCCAAAAGGATCTCGGCAATATTCAGCTAGAGCTTGCTGCCGTCAAGTTTGATTGAGATGTTGGCTGTACCCGAGGAATTGGTACTAAAACACATTCTGCTGGACAGAGGAGTGTGACGGTGAGTTCAGCGTACCTTGGCCTGCAGACGTCCTCCGATGGTCGACCTCATGTGGTAGATGGAAACCACGACATCTCCTTGAACGCTCACGCCCAGGGGGAAGACGACCTTCCCCTCCTGGACCCTGTGCTCTCTGACATAGAAGAGACAAACGTAGTAAAGGGTTTGTCACACTTAATTTATACCATGCTGTGCGTAAAATCTTTTTTAAATAAGACGCCACAGTGCGATACCAGTACAGATGCGCCACACTGTGATGCCGTTACTCTCTGTGATGTTGCAACAATGCTACTTAGATGCTATCAAAATGTTCCTTAGCAGTAATGTTTCTCACCTCATCCTCTCGTACTCCTGTGCAGTGGTGAAGATCTTGGTCTCTCCGATGAGGACGTCACAGAAGGGCCGACAGCCGCTGCGCTGCTTGTTGAAGCAGGGGACCGGACTCATGGTGAGGCCCTTGATCACCAGGGGCTTAGAGTGGGGTAGGCTGGGCTTCTCTGATACCATGCTACATACATAGCCAATGTACCTGCAATGCACAACAGGGAAGTCAACATCTTATCAATGTATAATCCTTACATTTCGCAACATCCCTACAGATCTACCATCAGTAGTTCTGCAGCAGGAGTTGAAGACTTCACAAGCTACCAAGCCAGCAAAGTCGATAAAGATCTGTCCAGAATGACGCCATTAATTCCATTCCCATAAACTCTCCGTCAGCTTGCATTAAAAACTCTGACTCATGAGAAGAATCTTCTACAAGCATTGATAAATACTCCGGGTTACATGCTGGCAAGGTAATAAAATGTCCAACCTTGAGGGTGTGCCAGCTCTGAAGCAGAGAATTCATGTTCAATCTGAGGAAGCTGAGGGCTGCTGGCTGCTGCTCTACATATCAGACCATGAACCTACGACAGCATATGATCGGAAACTGTGCTGTGTAGAATTAGATAAGAAAAGCATACTGTCTTCTAAAGCAGGAGATTAGAGAGCAGAAACGGTGTTGCTTTTTTCGAAAGACTGAATGTGCTCATAGCCTCATCAAATCAGTGATGTGTTGTTTTTTGTTTTTTTTTTAGGTGATGGGAAATCTAACGGTAAAATAATCAGTGGTGAGTAACACCAACACCTTATAATTTGATTGTTAACAGACTATTAGATAGCTACGTTTTGGTGCAACTACATCAATAGAAAATCAGAATAAATGATGCTTCTTGATCCTTTTTGTCTCCTAACACACACGTAAAGCACAACAAGCTATGGGACTTAACATCAGAGAGATATAGGAAAAACGAAGGCGTGCGAGAGGTGTTTCATTCCCTTTCGCTCTTTCTCCTTCTGTCACATTTGCATGCACTTGTTCAGGGATGCAAACCTGCGGTGTGAAGGCCAGAGGCCAGAACCTGGTCTCTTGGCGCTGAGCAGCTGCATGGCAGGAACTGGGTTGTTGAAGAGGTGGCAGAAGCAGAACATGGCACAGACCAAAACACCGGAGGGAGCGCGACCGTCCTGAAAAACACACAGTGAGAGAGGGAGGCTCTGAGACGTCTTATGAAACGCTGGGTAATTATTATCCTTCACTAATGCACTTTTTGGGGTCAGCATGCTTGATTACATTAACTTCTTGGAAAATTTTCTAACTAAAGCGCTGAAGAAAGGCCTTTTTAATTTTCTTTAAATCGCAGCTCAAAGTTTAAAGGGTATAAAAGATGAAGAACATCCCAGATGACTCACACTTCATGTGCACAAACAGGCAACAAAGAAATGCAATTAACAGCGGAGAACTCTCTTTGCTCGCTGGATTTATTCACAGCTGCAAAAGTTACTGTGAGTTCATTTCAGGTTACGGGGGAGACAAAAACATTCTTGTGATCTGGAGCAGTGAATTTAAAAAGGAACCGTTTGGTGGAGATTATGCAAGGAGCGGTTTGCCAAGCCACAGCCAAACCACAGCGACTTGGCAATAACATGCTCCACCACATGCCAGCGTACAGTATTGCTGTCGCTGACATAGAACAAATAGAAAACCCAGTTTTACCGAATACTTTGGTGATATTTCAAAACATTTGTGATACAAAGTATGCAGGGGTTTCAGCCGCACTCGAACTAGAAGTGCTTTCGTGTGACAGTCTACCCGATGCGATTCTAAAACCGGCGCCTGAAAGCGTGATGCGCGGCCACAGCTTCCCTTGCTGGACTGACATATTCCTCTTTCCTGCTTAATTCCCTTTTCGACTGCGAAGCAACAATAGAAGGTGGAGAAACTGACAGGAATGATAGGAACTAACAGAAACGAGACGAGCAGTTTGACAAATCTCTGAGCTGCGGTTTATTGTGTTTGGCAACAAGAAAGACTAACACTCCTGCATCCAGGAATGGCAACAGTTTGAGGAGAGGAGGAGCAGATTCCTGGTCTGTGTGGTGGTGCAGCCTTTATTTGATGGAAAGTGGGAAGTTCCCTTTGCTGAATTTAAATGTGATTTATTTAGAAAAACCCAAGATGGTGACAGTTTCTCACATGAACTGCAAACGCGTCATTTTTTTTTACAAACTGTTTAAGTACAAGCAGAATGTTTTGTTGTGTTAAAATCTCTTTTCGCAGAGATCAGTGTCTCAAAACACTTTATTTGTTGCACAAGCCAAGCTGACAAATCAATGCTGGCAATAAAATGTAAAATGAGTCACTGTTCACTTTGACACTCAGTATGATTCAGTTTGTCTTCTGGCAGCATATTTTTTGACCCTGCGCCTGGACTGAAAAGTGGGTCAGGGTACAAAAAAAATATCTCCAAAAATCTGTGGATGCATTGTGAGACCATCAAAACAAGTCCCTCCACATCAAAAGTGCATTTTTCATGGTAAAACGAGGTTAAGAGAAGGTTATATGAGCTGCCTATAGCTCCAAACCCCTTTTCGGACAACACTAGAACCAAGACAATCAATGAAACATAAAGGAGGATTGGTGTTGAATGTGATGGACTCTGTGAAAACGTCTTCTTACCGAGCAGGTGATGACACACACATTCTTGGGATTCTGTTTGAGCCAGTTGTGCATGTTCTTGCACACAGCAAACAGGTTGTGGAGGCTGGGAGCTTGGCGTGAAGGCCAGTTACACTCTGAGACCTGGAAAGGAGTTGAATTGGGGAAATAAGAGGAGGAAGGGTGAGGAAGATAAACAGGTAGACAGAGAAGAGGAGCAGATTAGAGGCAAAAGGAAGTAGAGAGGAGGAGGGGGAAAAAAAAAAAAAAGAAAGGCAGAGAGAGAAGGGAGGGGAGAGGCGAGGAAAGGGTTGGAAAAGCAAAAATCAGGAGGGGTGTAGAAAGGAGAGGTGGAGGTTAGTAACGGCGCCGCAGCAACCGAGCAACACAGCACACCAGTTGCCATGATGAGTCATCTGCTAAGGCACAGCAACTTCCACAAGCAGACAGGGGGCCATCTTGGCCGTGTTAACTCCGCAGCTTGAGTTCTCAGCTTTTTTTTTTGTTTTGGATGTATCTGCCGGAGGGTGGCAGTCTTTTATCTAGAACGCTTCCACACAAGCCTGGACTTGAACCCGAATCCAGCTGCGCAAAAGAGCTGAATGAGATGAGCCAAGGACCCCACGCTGAGGACAGTCACAACCATGAAATTATAATAGGAGAGCATACAAGAAGCATTCAGATTTATGCTCTGAATGGAAATGTAGCCGGAACACACGGATCAGCGACCCCACAAATTGTACTTTTTAAAAAAAATTCAGGCTCTTCTGGTCACAAGTGGTTGTTGCTGTGGTGAGGTGCATAAAAGATGCACTGTATGTAGAATAACTGTCATGCTACACTGCGCCCCAAAAACTCCAAATTTCCTGCCGGTTCACGGTTTGTTCACATAAACAGTAAACTGAAAGAAGCCTCTGTGAATTGGGGATTCTGTGGGGCTCTATAATAAAACCATGGAGTGTATCTTTAAAGCTTGAACGGACTCTCTAAGTATGAGAAGTATCAAAAGATAACAGAGTTGTTAGTGTTGCTGATCCCACTAAGAAACAACATCCAAAAATACAGTTCTTTGTAGTTTTCAGACACTTTGAATTCACTGTACAAAGATTAAAAAATTCTGAGACTGCACCTATAGAGTCAAAAGCTTTAAGTGATTTATATTTGTCTGCCATTTCCTTGAAAGCCCTTACCTTGTGCAGCACTGAGCCGTTCCCAGTGTTCCTGCTACATTTAGAGCCCTCCTTGACAGTCCTGTTCTATGAGCGCACCAAGCATCAGCTCCACTGTGTCAAAATGGCTAACATTTAACCTGAATTACATTTTAGGGGAAAGGAATGACTCACAGGTAGCCAAATCTGGTGAGTAGGGCAGCAAAAAAGTAATGATTGTGTTAGTATATCGAAAAAACCAACAGACACGCTGTCATGTCAGTTCAGTTGGTCCGCATCTGATCTGATGCCGCAGGACATTTGAGCAGACCCTAAGCATCAGCAGACTGACCCTCAGGGCTGAATTCATGATGCAGAACCCTGTGAAAGACAACAACAACCATCCTCTTGGTGCGCTCCTGCCCTAACGAGCCTTCTTCAGTTTTGGAGACTTTGGACTGTAGCCGTAGGCCCAACTTTCATCACATCAAGGCTCAATCATCTTGGGCCTTTTGATGGAGATCCCCACATACTTGGATACTTCGCTGCTTCAGCAGGTCCAAGGTGGAATCGGAAATGCACATGTGCAAGTGGTTACAAAAAACATGTAAAACAGGTACTGATGTGGATGACGTGACATCAGGTGGAACTTCTGACGAATCGAAGTTACTGCTGTCGCCTCTTGTATGTGAGAAGTTTCTGATCTGACTTCATAGTTGTTCTGTGGGCTATAAGGTTGTCTCCCAGTAGGTCATACCAAAAACTATATGTACAATGTCCAGTATTTATGTAGACCAAAAGCACCTGCTGAAGACTTAATGACAGAAGAGCTACGAAGAACCAAAGAGTTGGTTGATAATTCTCTGTGGGCTCATCACTCGATGACTCACTCCCAAGCGCACAAAAATTAGTCAGTGTAGGTTAATAACAGAGGAGCGATGAGCAACGATGGGCCTGATTGAGAAATCTAATTAGAGGCTTCATCCTCTGTGCTTCGACAGTTTATGGCTGCAAATAGCAACAAGCTGTAAATAGAAAATCGTCACATTTCACTCGAACATCAACAGAAAGAAGCCTCGATTAAAGCCGCAAGCGGCATTTGACGGGTCCTCGCCCTACGCTTGTCGGCGTCGTGCACGTCGGGGTGTGGCGCAAACGTGCTCCAGGCGGGACTCTGATCCAGCGTGTCGACTTTGAGGCAGATCGGAGCACTTGCGGCCCAAGGACACAACCACCATGACACAGGTTACAGAGCGGAATCAAAGCGCCAACCTTCCAGTCATTGACCGACCTGCTCGGTGTAATGCCTCAAACAGCCTGTTACCAATAGGTGGTGCTATGACTGTGAATGGATTTGGCATATGGATGTGATCAATCCAAAATGGCGGACTTCCTCTTGGGTTTATGGCTGTCACTGACTTTTTTGTTCGTCCTGACCTCCTCCATATACCTACCAAACTGTGTAGGTCTAGGTCAGACATGCTGCCGATGGGACTCTGTTGAAATTTTCTAGGTGGCGCTGTGGAGCCATTTTTCTATTGAGGTGTGTATTTCCCCCTAATTCTAAAATTTTTCACCGGGCCTGATGTGTGTGCCAAATTTTGTGAGTTTTCAAGTACGTTTAGGACCTGAAAAACACGTTTCTTTGTGACGAAGAAATAATGACGTAGCAGTTCCAATAGGGTTCTACGCACTGTAGTGCTCGGACCCTAAATATGTTGCCACTAACAACTAACAAATCTCTAATGGCGTCATCTCGAGCTTCATGATGTACATTCACACTCACTCTGTTGGAGAATTTGGCGCCACGGTAGTTGCGCTGTGACAGGTTGAAGACAGTGTAGTGGTCCGCATGGCGACTGTCGAGGAAGGAGCGGATGTCCTCGACGTGGTTCTGGTAGCCGATCTGCACTGACTCCGCCGGGTAGGTCATCACTGGAAAAAACAAAACAACGTTCTGGATGAGATGTTTGGTGGAGTTGTGGACTTATGCTCTGACAATATCTAACTGTGTAACTACTGGTCTGCGAAAAGGTTATTTTTAAAATTGAAAAATGAGGAGTGGGTCCACATTCAAGCATGACTATCAGCAGGGGCATGATGGGATATGATGCCCCGAGGGGACAAACGTCCAGCTGACTCCATCACACTGCTGCACTCATAAGAATGAAACGCTGTATGCAGTTCAACAATGAGAGGTCAGACGAGGGTGCAGATGTCTGTTCAACTGCATCTCTCAATACTGTACAATCTCAATTAAAATATTGGTTTTTTTTAAATGTGTGATTTCAACATTGTGAACCGTGTATTTATCATATTTGGTGACGTTGTTAAAACCGAGTAGTGCAAAGTCATTAGCTGCATTTTACCTATTATCCGTGATGTTATGTAGGCGATGTCCAGCTCCCCTTTGGTGTACCTGGAACACAAAACGTAACCTTTTAAACACATTTATTTCTGTCATGCAGGTGTAACAGAGCAATGAATCAGCACAGGAAGAGAAAAAGATTACAAACAAATCCACGATCACTTCAGCCAGAGTTTGTATCGTTTGGAGGAATCCAACAAAATCACTCTGCTCTTGTGTTTCTGCTGCTGTATAACGGACATTTCAGATATGAGGGAGCCTGTTTCGTTCATTAAGGAGGGTCAAGCGATGAATCCTCCTTGAAAAACAGCAAAGCATTGAAAAGAGAAGATCAATGCGTGAGTATCAGGCATCCGAAAGGTTGACGCACCTCTCTGCCTCTCACTGTCGTCGGGCCGTCCTGCATGACATGCATATCCAAGTGATTGGACTCAACAGGCTTTAGAGCAGAAGCTTCCGTGTGTGTCTGGCTGTGGGGAAGTTATCTTTTTTAGGCTCACCACTCTAGGCTGAGCTGCCCGGGATCAAAGGAATACCATATGTGAATTCTTCAATTGAACAGCACTGCCTTTCATTGCCAAATTTAGCAATTCCATATGGAGACTTTTTTTTTTTTTTAAACGGTGGGAGCAGCTGCAGAGCACACACATACTAGTAGTCCATTACTACTGCAGCATGGAAGTGATGGAAAACAGTGTGACTGGAACACTATGAAGCAGGTGGGGTTGGAGAGGGATTTATTTTGGAGAAATGACTCACAAATAATGACTCGCTTCTGGTAACCGGGAGCAGCAGAGGACGGCTCAGCTCCCTGCGCTGCGATTGCGAACGCGAAACACATTAATAGGCTAACGCGTATCAAATTGAGACGACTTGTTGCCTACTGTGAAAATCCCGCAAGCTAGGCCGATCTGGGACAGTCGTCTCTGTGTGGTCATGGAGGAGTGCCATATGGCCCTGATGCAATCCTGGACCTGGTTATGTAATGTGCTGCTCCTCAGCTAGTCTGCTTAGGACTGGGACAAGGATAAGTGTGTCATGAGATTTGCTTTAAACTTTCAAATGACACCAAATGCAACATTTAAGCAAATGTGTGCATTTATACGAAACTTAACGGTTTGTGTGTTATGGCCTGGAAAAGGCAGGTGACTGCTAAGATAACAGACAAACAACCTGACGTACATCCATCAGAGGGAGAGCGGTGTTTCTAAGTCCTCCATAATGAACTCATGTGACCACAAATCAGGATTCTGTTTTGATCCAATTCTGTGTTGATCCTAGGTTGAAATTCAATTCAGTTCATTTCAGTTCAATTCAGTTTAAATGACTTTATTCATCCCCTAGGGGCAATTCAAAAGCTCACTGAGTATTTATTATAAAGACATTTAAAAAAAATAAAATAAAATAAAATAATAATATAAATATAAAATAAGATAAAATAAAATAAACAATAAACCACATTCATTAGAATATATAATTATTATATGTTATTATAGAATAGAATAGAATAGAATAGAATACTTTTTTGACCCCCCATTGTGGTAAATGTACACACCATAGCAGCATCCAAAAATATAGAAAGTACAAGAAAAACCAATAATTATAGTAAATTATTATTATTAGAAATAATTATATTATTATATTATATAATGTAATACATAAATACAGACTCAAGGTGTCTCAAAGTAACACCAGCAGCGTCCCTAAAAAGTAATTATACTCCTAAATTAAACTTTTACAGCCATCTTTTTTTTTTGTCTCAATATAAAAGAGGCATCGCTATAACATTTACTGCTTTTTGTGTTGCGAAAATAAATAAAAACAATTCATTAACTTTTATTGTTCTCCACCATGTCTGAACCAGACAGATGCGGTTTCTGCAGGATGTTGGCAAATGTGCTGCGTAAATCTGTGGTTTTACCTGCTTCTGTCCTGAAATAGCTAGTTGGCTGTTAGAGGAGAAAAGCAGGTCAGGTGTCAGGTTTAAATGGTCATGGCCAATAGCCATAGAGTATGCAAATGAGCAGTGCCCCTGACCTCTTGAGGATAGAGTTGCAGCCAATTAAAATGTACTGCAAGGTGTGGAAAATAAACTGAAAAGAGTCGAAGGACGGAATTGCACAGAAGGGAAAAGCCAACACTGGAAGGATCATTTTCTTTTTTTAAAAAATGGAAATCAGTTTGAAAATGCAGTCTATATTTTATTCAGTGTATACAATGGGGAGTTATTGGCATTTCAGTTGTATAATATAAAGCTAGAATTGTTGTTTACTGGCTTAAAATCGCTAAAAAATGCCACAGATTCAATTTTAAAAAAAATACACAATAGTACATCCTCCCAATTTTGAGTTACGTGCGCATTACATTTGAAAATCAATTATAAACGACTTAAGAAATGATCCTCTGCAGCTTTTCTTTGTACTGTTTTATCCCTGATTTAATTCTGAATTAGTGATGATGCGCCCTTTTTGACTTAGTGTCATTATTTAGCCTATGAATGAAATTAACTACACTGATTGTTTGGTAGCTGAAAAATTCTCAGATACTCTTTGCTAGAGTTTGGCTCATACTGATGGAATTTATTTGTGCCTATTAATTAATAATCGGCAACATTTTTAAACAAACAAACAATCAAACTCAACAACAGCACCACATTAGGTTTAATATAGAAAATTAAGGATATTGTGCTCTTTATGTACTCCATGTTAACTGGCTGACTGTTTTGTGTATTTTACCATTTGAAACAGTCTTTGTATGTGTTGTCCAGCTACACACAGAAAGCAAAAGACTGTAAAATCCAAGAAGTCATTTGTGTCATACAGTAACTGGCTTGTAAGCATTTAGTGACATTTTCTAGGGCTTAGAAGTCAAACTCATGATAGTTTGACTTCTAAATGTATCTGTTGAACAAATTCATTAAAGCTTCATTTTAAAGCTGGGGTAGGCAGGAAGGAAGAAATTTAAAGTACAGCCCTCCTCCTGCAGCTCTCTGTCCTCAGCTCCTCCCACACCAAACAATCACATGCAAACATAGCCAAGCTAGAAACTAACATTTACTTCTCACATGATTTAACCCCCACTGTCCCATGTTAAACACTGTCTGACCTTCAGCACCTTCCCACTCACTGCTGACTTGCTATTTATACTTTCCTCGCCTGCTCTGAGTGAGAAGACCTGTGATTGGCTTAAGTCTCCTGTAATGAGCTATGTTTTCTAAAGCCTTGAAAACAGAACCAGGGAAGTCTAGTTTCCCCTCAGATCGCTAGAATTACAAGGTTCGTATATGTAAATATACGAAAATATGATTTTAATGATGTATTTTTTTACATGAACTCATAGCAATACATTTTAATAAGCATTCGTTTACTTCCTCAGACCTTTAATTTTAAATTTCTCCAAGCTATTTGGGATTAGTAGGACATGATAAATACTAATATGGTTTATTCATAGCTTGTGACTTCTGCTAAAAATGATCAGACACGTATGCTATATCAAGCTACAAACATTATAAAGCTTAAACATCTACACAATTTAAAGTTAGTATGTAGAAAGGTTAGTACAGTCGTGACTCGATAATCCAACACTAAATGTAAAACCTTCTTTTATGTCGGATAGCAAGGCTGTCGGATTGTCAAGACGGAGGTCTAGATGCAAGGAGGGCTTGATGCTTGAAGGGTCATTTGTTGTTAATATGTATTGTTCATAGTTGTTATGATAACAAGTAGGGCTGGTTCAAATAGCACTTTCTGGTCTCTGGATATTCAGGCCGAATTAATGATGAATATCCGAATATTCAGAGCGGTCAGGGGGGAGCACTTCCACCCCGGGGGTGCGTTCTGACGGGGTGGAAGTGGCTGGAACGCACAGGTAGTACTTGGCTGCTGATGCCAGTTTAGGATAGCGGTCACACTTCTGTTTCCACCATCAGTGATGGCGGCAGCACCACTCCCCCGCCACCGCCACCATTCATGTTTACTTCCGTAAACACTGAGCACGCTCGCTGCGTGTGACGTCATTCTGTCCTCTTGTGCACATGCGGGACACTTTTTGGGTCGTATGAAGTTCACACAGCAGATCACATACAAGTCGCACGTAATGGGAAATGTGAACGAACTGACTGGCAAAAAGGTCGGAGTTCACAAAAAAATCTGAATTAAGACCTGCAGCCTGTCCTTATTTGTGACATATAATGTCATGTCGGAGCTGGAATCCAAGGCTATTGGTATTTTAAGGCTATTTTTCATTTGTTTTTCCTAAAAACCTGTCGGATAGCAAGGTTTTCGGATTGTTAAGGGTCGGATTATGGAGTCACAACTGTATTAAACTTTTGCCTATCACAGCTTTATGTAGGAAGAACTTGCCCTAAATTCAGACATGTGTTTCACACATTTACTTAAAAAGAAACTTTTCAGCCTGCATTCTTCAGTGCTGGTAGACTATGGTGACGTGTAACCATCAGATAGTGCTGTCGGAGGGCTGCTTGAGACCAGAGGGTGACTATATAATAATAACACAATAATAAACTTTATTTATAGAGCGCTTTTCAAAACAAGTGTTACAAAGTGCTTTCCAATCAAAATAAATTCAAATTGAAATAAAAATAAGCACACAGAATAATTGATTCAATAGAAAGCACACAAATAGAACAAGAAACATAACATTTAAATAAAATCAGGAAAAGCTCTCCGATAAAAATGTGTTTTAAGAAGTGAACTTATATAGACAGAAGGATGCAGCAACACTGAGCCAATGCAACACATTTTTGAATTCATTTATCAGAATCAGAATCAGAATCAGCTTTAATGACCAAGTACGTACACAACATACAAGGAATTTGGTTTCGGCTGTTGGTGTCGCCTTTGGAATTTGCACGAATAATAGAAATAGGAAAAATTAAAAAATAAAATAAAGTAAAATAACTAAAGAAAGAAAAGAATAAAATGCAATAAATATTAATAAAAAATAAAACAAGATAATAAGACAAATATATACAAGAATTTACACATCTAGTCGAAAAAGGTATATGTATATTAGTGCAAAATGTTTTGTTA